TATATGTATATATAACTATATTTAAAGAATATGTATAAGCCATGAAGCAAGAACAAAGGAAATGTAATCACATTGTTAAGGAGGTACTCATGATGTTGTTTACATCATCAGTTTATCAATGGGTTGAACGAGTAGACCTCTTTCAGTGTTAGTAATCGTATTTAGAGAAAGTTTAAAGTTTTTGGTTTTAAAAAAATATTTTCGTCTGGTCAAAGTTATATGCAAATGGCATCCATTCGCCGTTCGATTTGTGGTAAACGGCATATATGTATATAAAATATTTGTTGTTTTCTTCTTTTTTTTTTCACTATCAAAAAAAAAAAAAATAAAAATAAAAATTTTAACTTTAATATATGCAACCATCGAAGGATTCGACTTATATTTTTTCAGTGCAGTATACCACAAAAATTACACACAAGGAAACATAAACATTTAAAAGCCAAAACCTCAATTTATGGCCAAATATGAATGCGACGAATATGCATTTTAAACGTTTGTGGGAGAAAAATGGCTCTGTAAATGTATGTGGTAGGTGGGCGGATTGTGTATGCATATAAGTATACATTCATATACGCACACACACACACACACACGCGCGCGCGTATATATACATATATGATAAATATATATACGTTTATATAGGATAAATTGGGCAATGGGAAACCAAAAAAACAAAAAAAAAAGAAAAAAAAAAAAAACGAACAAAATTGACACTTCAATTAGTTCTATTGTGTTTGATGATAGTCGGAGGAGTATGTGCCGGGACGGTTTCTTCGTTTTGCTTTCTTTGCATTTTCCGTTTTTTAATGGCAAGTATTTCTAGCACAATTTAAGTGCCTAATATGGTTTGCTAACTAAACTCTACGAGGGATAATCGAAAAGTTCACGCTCCCAAATCCTAAATAGGTTTGAGCAAAAGCTTGACAGATTGTCCCACGTTTCCTAAATATATAGCGGTAAGCAAATATATTCGGTTTCGGATTACGCTTTCTTAACACTTCTCATTCCTATGGCGATTATGTGTCGCCATTGTATCTGTGACACCAACTCCTGTTCTCGAGTTAAACTCAAAACTATGTTAATTAAAATTATTAATGCGTTTTTTTTTTTTTTTTTTGCAAATTAATTAGAGAGTTATTGGTCGGCAAAAAAATATCCAAGGTGCAAAAAGTTAAAAAGGAATGAAATCATCTAATAATCTTTTTTATCCTTATGGAAGTGTGTGATTCCTTTTTTCTTTTTTTTTTTTTTTTTTTTTGTCATTTACTCAGTTGTTGGGAAATTTTTTAATTTATTTTATTTATATCGTGCAATTACGTAACGAAAGCAAAAACCACTCTTCAATATAATCGGTGCAATCAATGGATGCATAATTTGTTTCCGAGGAGTTGTACGGCATTCAAAAGTATCTATTTAAGATTTTAATAAATGTGACATCTTTCATCTGCCCATCTATACCAATTAACTAAAGGAATAAGGATTGAGAATAAAAGTTGCATATTAATCTTTGAATCGAATAAATGCTAGAGTGAATGAAGTGACTACGTGAACCTATATAATATCGAATTATGAATTAAATTAATTCATACCTTCCGTCCAGCCATTTGTGCTTTTCTTAACTTTGTTAACAAGCTCGAGATATAAATTTGATAAACATATTATATTGAATAAAATTCACATGTCAAGTTGAATGCTAATAATAATAATATTTTCCTATAAAAATGAGAAATTAAATTAAATTTGAAAAATTATGAATAACTTTAATTAATATGCATTTCTTACTAGATTATAAAACTCAATAGTTGTCGGTTTAAAATTCGTGTTAAATTCTTATTTAGATCAACGAGACAATTTGATTTCAATATAGTCCATGGCTGGTCCATGAAAATCAATAAATAAATTTCACAGAACTCTTTGCTGTAAAGTAGAAGCGGTCAGCAAATCCAACTTCATTTATTCAAGTCACACGCTCAACTCCTATTACAAATTCCTTTCCATAACACTTGGTTCAATATGATTTCCTCTTCTTTTTTTTCTTTCTTCAAGCATTGCATATCTAAGATGCGATCCTCTCTTTCTTTTTTTTGTCTGCTTTTACTGCAACAAGCTATTCGGAATCAATTTAGTCATTTTCATTTTTTTTTTTTTTTTGTTTTATCATGAAATTAATTAATTAATATTTTGCAATATAAAAATATGTATATGTGCGTGTGTTTTATAAAATTTGAATAGAAAAAGGAATTTATTTTTACATTTTCTATTAACGGACCTCGTTCGCAAAAAGGGAATATGCGTATCGTGAGTATACATATCCATATATATATATATATATACAGGATGCGTGAGTGCTGAACATTTTGCAGAGGCTCCTGAAAGGTGGTCTAAAAGAAGTGAAGCTTTTTGGGAAAACGATTACTTTATACAGCAAGACAAATATACGCACGCAATTTCTATGGAGCCTAGCGCTCAGCGATTTGTCGCAGACATGTTGTAGATTGGTACAACGATATGGTTTTGCACGTTGGCTTACAGCATGAATCCAAAATAACACTTCGACTCTCCACATCTAACTTCACCCTACCACCCTCACCGCCGTTTATGCACATACACCTAAAATTCCATGTGAAGAGAAAAAACCCGATACGATGGTGTTTTTATTGTTCGGCTACTCTACGCACATATATATATATCTATTTATATATATGTATTTGTATATATGATAAAGAACCATATATATATATATTTAGCAAGCTGTGTACATACATGTGAATACGAACGGATGGCCGCCTAACTTAATGAATGTATACATTTTGTGATATTGCTGCCACTCGCTCCTACTCAATGTTATGTCGCATATATTACATGTAGTGTAGTCTCGTTGAATTGCTGGGGGAGTGGTTTTCTACAACCATAAACAAACGATATCTTTGCAAGAGAAAAAAAAATGCTGTACGTATGTACTCGCATCCGTACAATATTAACCTTTTTTTTTTTTTTTTTTTTTTTTTTTTTTTTGTTTTCTTCTCAACCTATGTCTTTTATGTGAATTTTATAACAACACCAACAAACAGAAACGATGAAGAGGCACTGCATACATGGTGGTATTATTTAGTATTTATAGAGAAAACCCACTTGTTTAACTGCAGACAAGTAGAGTAAAAGAGATAAAAATAGTATGTCTTACGATTAAAACTACTACACTGTCTCTTGCTATAAAGAATAGCATAACATGTTGCTGCTCTGCACTCGCATTTATTTCTACTATATTTTCGTATTTGCGTGATATCTCGTTCTCTCCTATGGCTTTGCTTTTAAAATGTTCGTCTTGCTCTATCGCTATCGTACTCTAACATTACACGATGCTTGTCTAAACAATTTTTACGAACGCTCTATACACTTATACACACGCATACACACACCGCATCGGTTTTTGTTTTGTATATACTTACGTCTCGCTGCTGCATGACTTTGGCAAAAGGTGTTTTATTCATAGAATAACAATCAGTTCCAAAGTAACATTCGTACGGTTTTGTAGTGTTGTATCTGTGGTATCGTCCGTTGTTTTGTATACATATATATGTATATATGCATATATATATATATATATATATATGTACATATCTATATATATCTATAAATTTATATATATATATATATATATATATATATATATAGTTAGTTTGTGTGCATATTCCGGTACTACTGTTGTGCGTTGTTCAACTTTTATATTTATTTAATGCTCACGTTTACGCCGCAGCCGCCGCTGTTGCATTTCTCTTGCACACAAAGCTGGTGTGCGTTATTTGGCACACATTCCACTTTACCGATTTTTAATTACATTTGAATTTTGGCAAAAGCTCTAATCACAACAGAAATACAATAATCCATAAAAATAAATAAATAAAATAAAATAAAATAAAATAAATAAAAGTATTGTATGCATTTGTGTTATTTATAACAACAACAACAATAACAACAACAACAACAATAATAATAATAACAACGAGTTAATTGCCGAAGAATTTTATTTTTTTTATCAAATATTTTTTGATTTTCTAATCTTTTTCGCTAAGAAGGAAAAACGGAATCAATAGAAACCTTAGAAAAAAAACAAAAAATATTCAAAGTGTAAAATTAATTACTTTTTAATACATAAAAAAAAAAACAAAAAAACAAAAAATAAATAAAGAGAAATATAAGAAAAAATAGAAAGAAAAAAACAAAATCAACTTGACATCCGTGAATAATACTTGGATTTACGAAAGCCAAAGGTTTTTTCAAATATATATATATATATATATATATATATATATATATATATATAAATTCTTACATCTTGTGCTTTGCGGAAATGTTTATTCCTTCTTCATTTACTTTAATTTGAAGTGAAAAAGTGATTGATTTTTTATTGATTAAACTTGGAATATATTTCGTTACTAATTGCTTACCTGTCGGTGCCCGCTGCTGTTTGACACCTGCCGTTTTATTACATTACTACTAGCACTTACTTAATCTAGTGCTTGACTACTAACTAATTTTTGGTAAGTGAATTGCTCAAGCAAATAATAATAATAATAAGAAGAATGTGCAACAAATGACAATACAACAACAATAAATATAATTCCCAAAAAAAATCCAAAAATCCATAAAAGAATTTGCCAAAAAAAAAAAATCTTTCTTTCTTTCTTTCTAACGAAAATCGACTTCACACGTATATCCTTTATTGCGTGCACACATCCATTCATCATCATCTCTAGTCTAGTTTAGAAGAAGCGTGCAAATGTTGAGCATCGAAAAAGGGTTATATGTTAAATATTTTCTTAGGAAAAATTTAAATCATCTTCTCGTCCGTGTCACCTTGACCGAAATTGTATTCGCAATAATAGTTTTAATGCCGCGCATTAACTTTTCCTTATAGCATTTCTCAGAATTTCTCTTAGCAAACTCAAAATAACTATCATTATCCTTTGCCTGGATTTACTTACTATTTGGTTTTAAATATATTTGAGATCAATAGTATAGATAGTATAGACATATTGCCATATTGTTGTTAATCCCTATTAAGAAGAAGTTATATGCATTTTTAAATATTAATCATTAATTGTCTTAATACGCAAATCCAAAGGCCATTATTTATAGACCGATAACGATAATGTTTTGATCGAGAACAATTGATGCATAGGGTTTTTTTTTTTTTTATTTTTTTTTTTTTTGGGATAAATAAATAATGTATTTTCAAAATGATTCCATAAATGAATTAAGAAATTTTTATCTATGTAAACATTTTCATTGCGTGCTTGCTTTTATCGTATTAATCCAAAGCGGTTTATTCTGTTCCGTAAAGGCAAGCGTACAAAGTTAGTTGGCTTGATTTGAATTTCTACTAAATGAGAAAATCGTTCAGTTTCAATTTAAATTTAATAAAAAAAAAAAAAAAAAACGTTCATAAACATGCTATGAAAATATTTTAATTTAAATCATTTAGTAAAGTTAATAAAGTCTGGTCTCTAACTCTTATAGAAAAAAAAAAAAAATAAATAAAACACAAAGGGAAATATTGAAGCTTTCTTAAGCTGGTGAAACGCAATAAAATTTCAAGTGTCCCTTTCAAAGAGATTGAACTCTCAACTCTTGTGTTATCAAAACAATCAATCCAGGCATCGTTAAACCTATGAGCCTGCAAGCCAGGGCTAAATAAAAGAAAACATTTTTTTTTTTTGTCGAATTTGAACTTGTACACTAACGCCTAACGTTGGTAAGATCTGCCAATCCTTCAAAGTGCATTTTAACTTAATTTCATGCAATTGTTCTATTGCAGTCCAGGTTCCATAAAAATAGCGAAGAGACTATGACTTATCCCTTGCAAGTTTAGACAGAGAGGTAGAGGAGAGAGGTGAGCCATCTCTTTTGGATATCGACGATATTGCGATAGCAAATCACCGACATATTAATGCGTTCGATGCAGAGAAGCGCGACCGTAACATTTTCAAAGTTAATGCCACAGTTCGAACGGTATCTTTTTCCACGAAAACTCATAATTGTTGTTTGTTTAACAGTTCGATATACCGATTTCGCCTTTAGTATTGAATACAGCAAATCGCAGTAATTGAATTAAAGTCACTTGTAACAAACAAATTATCTAATTAACATATAATTTTGATCGGTTTTCGGTGAGGCATTAATTAGGCTAGAGAGAGAGCTCCTTCTTTATCTTAAATTACATAAAAATTAATTTTTGCGTCGACACTTGCATCAATATTAATAATAAAAATATTGAGTTTTTCTTAAAAATGATAGCTACATGTCAGCTCTAGAATTTATTGATCGATATGTTATTAACAAGCAGTACATATATGCATGCATATATGCATATATGCATATGAATTTCCTTAAGCTTCGTAAATTCTCAGTGAGAGTTATATTATAGATCAATTTTTTCCATAGGTTAAAAGTTACAAAAATTTCTATGTATTTTGGACGAATATTTAATTTGGGAAAACTATGGCATTTTGCGACAACGGAACAGGCGGATGTAGCTTCGAGCTGAGATAGACTTAATTTTGGTTAGCAGATTTGCCATTATCAGTAGATCTATGAGGAAACAAAATTCTAGCGTTCTATCCACAAGAACGGGAAATTTATAAATAGAAAAAAGGAAAAAGGGATAAAGGAACAAAAAAAAAAAAAAAAAAAAAGAAACCGTGAGAAATATACAAATAGGAAGAAAGTTTTATATCTGGATATAATATAACGCAAAAATGTTACAGTGCAAGGATGATGGAGAATTCTGCTTATGTACTAACGAGAAGAAAGCGTCTCTGTTACCATAGGAGTAAAATACATTTTTCTATCATTCGTAGCACAAGTCTAATCTGCTCATAAACCAATGAACCACGAATGACTTTTTACTTTAATTTCGAGTTTTTTCGGCCGTCATAGTAAATTTTTATTATTCAGAATCAAACGTTAGATTTCTGAATATTACAAGCAAGCAGAAACAAATGTGATACAATGCTGTCGATGATTGGCGGTGATTTTAGAAGAAAGTTCAATGACAATCGAGCGTTTGGTAAATCGGAGAATAACGATTTCATTTACTTTCACTAATAACTGTTGAAATCGATTTTATCCAATTAAAAAAAAAAAACAAAAAACAAAAAAGAAATTCTACTATAAAAAATTCTTATTAGAATACGCTTAACTATAATTCCTGTTTCCTTTTGTCTCCTGTCGATTTTCCTGTGACTTAAACGGTCCCGCAGCGCATTCACTTAGGACCCTTTCTTTTCATCCTTTTTATTAATGATTTTTCATCGGTGATTAAGCTCAGTTATCTACTAATGCATGCTAATGATGTTAAACTGTTCTCTTCTTTCAACATGGGAACGTTACTCATGTAGCCTATAACATGTTTTAGACAATTTGTTGCTTGTTGCTTGTTGCACGTTGCTCGCTCTTTAAACTTTAAAACGGTGCAAGAAACTTTCATTCACAGGAAGGAATACATTACTTATCAAATACTTTACAAATAGTTACTGACCAAAGATTACATAGTGACCTTGGCATAAATAATGCAAAAATTGATTTTGTCTTTATTAAAAGATGATTCTGACAATTTGATGATCCCTATGTTCTACATAAGTTCGGTGATGTTAAGATTGGTATATGCCTCTATTGTTGCTCTGCCTGCTACCTAAAAAATTTATGTTGATGCAATAGAAACAATTCCTGTTTTTTTGTATTCAGAAATTTGGCATGATATCCGATAGCCTATTTGCCATCGTATGAAAGTAAATCGCTACTATTAACCTCTCCCTCACTTCATAAGCGACCGTTTATATTGTATTGAGTGTATCCTTCCTAGTCAAGCCAGCCTTACTGGGAAAGAGAAAACTGTAATGCGCCATAATCTTTACTCAAAATATTTTATAATCATAAAGCTCCTCCAACAGTGCCAAGATATAATGATATGGAGTTTTTTTTAACCCGTTTAAGGTCATTTGCAAAAAAATTTAAATGGTGTCTATATAATGGTGTCTATCCCAATAGATGGGATTTGTTAAAGAAGGCATTCAATTAGTGCCGCTTAACAGGCGCAGTCTGTCAATGTAGTATTTCAAGGAATTTAGTTAATAACCGTAGAGTAGTTTTCGTTTCGCAAACTAAAGCCAGCTAGTGCCTCGTATCGATTGCCAAGTGACTACTTGAGAGCTCTGCCCCAACAGTTTAATATTAAATTTTTATTCTTATATATATATATATGTACTTTATGTACTATGAAGGTCTGATGAAATGTTTGTAATCATGTTGGAATAATTATAATTACATTAATTTTCTTCTTTTTTTTTTTTTTCTTTCTTTGCAAAGTAGCCTATGTCGATTTTCTCAAATAACTTAACGGCCATATAAAGAAATGGAAAAATATAGAAAATGTAATATTAAAGATAATAAACGTTTCTCTCTCTATCCTAAAGTTTGATATATTAATGAACACAAGTTCAAGTAGCCTCGTTTCAATAAATGTTTGTTGTAGACTTTGCAAAACATCATCTATTCTTACATGTTAATGACGGAAGAATACCGTGGAGGAAAAAAAAGTTTTAAGGAAATGTGATGCAATGAATAATAAAAGGAGAAAATGTTGATTCGCGAAATATGCGAAACGAGAAAGAAAACTTAATGGGGTTTCTAAGGTTTTTATAATAGTCATAGTTCCGAGTTGTGGGATGAATTGTGATCTGATTGAAATATTTAATAGGGGCAACAGTTTCGTTAGAGTCAGTATGCGTTTGCCGCTAAGCACGAAATGATTGTCAAAAAGATTTCTTTCTTTCTTCTTTTTTTTAATTCTTTTAAACGTTCTGTTCCTGCTTTTTAACCAAATTTGATTTGATTCGAAAAACTGGTGTTTGGCCGTCGTATTTTGAATAGGAATGGGGAAATTAAGGACGAAACTGGCAAGATCGATATAATGCATAAGCTTCGGAAAAATGATTCACAAAAAAAATTTTTTTTTTTTTTCTTTGATGTTTAGCTAATATTTCAAGGCTTATAATTTAAAGTTTAATAAAGCAAACATATTTATAAAAATCAATTAAGGGCTAAAGATTGTCAAGTGATTGACAGGAATACTCCGTTAATATCACAAAAACTAAATCGTCTAAAGTAAAGATATATAGATAGATTTCTTCCCAAGGCGGATATGCTAACTTAGGGCAATTAGGGTAAAAGGCTTTTCCTGCGTTTTTCACAACAAGAAAATTGAAATCGTTTTTCGATGCTATCAACCAAACATCTTCGCATTATTCTGATATACTCGTATACAGACAGATATTCGATTGCAAGGTAAAGCAAGGAAGACAAGAAACTTTCATAACATAACATAAACGAAATGGAAAGTTTGTTCGAAAATAACAAAAGTTTCGCATACATTGACAGCATACTAGCAGTGTGTAAGAATAACATTCGCGAATAAAATATTTACGATTCTCAAAGCTAATCGCATTCATAGAGAATAGTTGTATCGAGTCTATGAACACAA